TTTTTTTTTAATTTTCAAGTTTCTTCCAAATGGTGGAGGGTATACAAAGCTCGACCGGCTGAACTTAGCTACTTTTTTTCTCTAAAAATTCACTTCTGCAAACAAATTTTCTTTAAAAATCCAGGCAAGTTTCTGTATGAGGTACCGTAAGGGTTGGGTCCATATTGCCCATCTTCGAACTCGGTCTGGGTTTTATATACATATTACGATATACCACCGTTCTCACAAGCCAGACAGACATGCAAATAATCGTCAAACCCGTTTCAAATCTTGTAAAGCGTAGAGATTACCTGCGATAGTCCCAACTACAGAAATCAAACTTAGCTCATAAAATATGGTGGCGTCCCTGTTGGGGCCTCGCTATATAAATCTCCACAATTAATAGAAATATTAACTAAATTATTAGTTAATGTTTGTATTTCCGTACCCGGAAATACATTACGAAACTATTTTGGGGTGTCCCACTAAAATATTAAATTAAAATTTGCAAACAATGTTAGAATAGGTAATCTTTCTGGTTCCATTTCAAAATCGGAGATACCTATTTATTTAGTTATAATTCATCGTTTCTTTCAAAATAAAGGAATTCTATACACGCTAAACTGAATGCCATAAAACTTAGCAAACCCCCGAATATTTTGAAGTTCTGAGGCGATTTCTGATATTAATAAAATTTGTTAAATTCCTAAGCTGTTGTTCATTTAAATCATGACCATATACTAAGTTTATATAAAACAACATTGTATTACCCCAAAATAAAATTCTACCAGTTTTATTTTAATAGTGGTTTTGGTGCAATAAAAACAATATGGAAATATTAAATAAATAAAATGTGTTGTTAGACTAATGAAATGAACTCTAAAAAAATGAGTAACAAAAGCGGAAATAAAAGAGGAAACGAAAAAAAAACGGACACCGGATAAAAGCAAAGCAAACCAACCAAACAATGAAACAAACGAAGTGAATTGAATGACGGCGAACAGTTGTTTGCTTTTGGCGGTGTCTGGGCTTTTATTCGGGGACTATGTTACAGGACTCTGGACTCCGTGTATGTTGGCGGAATGAATGTTCACGGAATGCCAGCAGGAACAACAAAACATTTCAAATTGAAACTAAAACCAAAAATACAAAACAACAGAATCTCTTACCCGTCGTTGGTCCAGCATAGGCTATGATTAAAGCTGTTAGCAGGAGTGAGCCTAACACCACACCGGCCACTAGGAGGGCACGTTTTGTGAGCAGACGGCAACACCATTGCGTGTTTGTCGGCCACCGCTGGATTCGCCACCTGCAACAATGCACAAAGAACAATAAGTCAAAAATGTAATAACAACAATTACAACAATAATATAAGAGTACATAAAAAGTCAACATCTGAGAGAATTTAATTAAATATTAATGGTCGGTTTTAATGCACCTGTGATATGAGATAGAGGGCATCAAATTGCCGGAAGGGTATTAAATAACACAGAATTGTTATTATTAAAGTCAATGAGGGTTTTTTGCGGAGCATACTGTAGAAATATTTAATTATCAAGATATGCAAAGTTCGATTATTTTCCAGAGGTCAGTACAGGCGTTACAAAGTTTTTTTTTTAAGCGTTCGAAAGCCTTCTATTGATTGAATGTCTTGTGAAGGCAGCCTGTTGACGGAAAACCTTTGGAGGGTCCGTATAAAGAAGACTTTCGAATGTCTTCTTCTTACAAATTACATTGGACCTTGTAATGGAATTCCGTAGACAAAAAAGCTTTTGGAGGTATTCGATGGAGCTTTTGGACTTTTCTGCCTGCAGAAGACTTAAACAAGACCGCGTAACGGTCTTACATAGAGAGAAAACCTTGTGGTATTATATGGACAGAAAACCTTGTGGACTTCTATACTAGACAGAAGACCTCGTGAAGGTTTCCACAGACAGAAGACCTAGTGAAGGTCTTATATAGATAGAAGACCTTTTGAAGGTCTTCTACAGTTATCTTTCTATAGAATAAATTCAGAGAGTCTTCTGTCTAAAGAAGAAGGTAGCATATATACAGAAGACCTTGTGAAGGTCTTTTATAGGCAGAAGACCTAGTAAAGGTCTTATATAGACAGAAGACCCGATGAAGGTCTTCTATAGACAAAAGACCCAATGAATGACTTCTATAGACAGAAGACATTGTGAAGCTCTTCTATAGACAGGTGACCTTGTGAAGACCTACTATAGACGGAAGACCTTGTGAAGGCATTCTATAGACTGAAGACCAAGTAAAGGTATTTTATAAACAAAAAGACCTCGTGGAGGTCTTTTACAGAGAGAAGACCTTAAAAAGATCTTCTGTAGACAGAAGACCTTGAAAAGATCTTCTGTAGACGGAAGACCTTGAAAAGATCTTCTGTAAACAGAAGACCTTGAAAAGTTCTTCTATAGACAGAAGATCTGGTGTAGTTTTTCTATAGGCAGAAGATATTGTGAAGGTCAGAAAGAAGATCTTGTGAAGGTCTTCTACTGTTATCTTTCTATAGAATAAATTCAGAAAGTCTTCTGTCTAAAGAAGAAGGTAGCATATAGACAGAAGACCTTGTGAAGGTTTTTTAAAGGTAAAAGACCTAGTAAAGATCTTATGTAGACAGAAGACCCAATGAAGGTCTTCTATAGACAGATGACCTTGTGAGGGCCTTCTATAGACGGAAGACCTTGTGAAGGCATTCTATTGACTAAAGACTAAGTAAAGCTCTTTTATAAACAGAAAGACCTCGTGGAGGTCTTTTACAGACAGAACACCTTAAGAAGATCTTCTGTAGACAGAAGACCTTAAAAAGATCTACTATAGACAGAAAACCTCGTGAAGGTCATCTATAGACAGGTCTTGTGAAAGTCGTCTATAATCATAAGACCTTGTAAAGGTCTTCTATAGAGAGAAGACCTTGTGAAGGTCATCTGCAGAAAAATACCGTGTTGAGGACTTCTATAGACATATGACCGTGTAAAAGTCTTTTGCAGAAAGAATTCTTTGATAAGAACTTCAGTAGACAGAAGACCTTGTGAAGGTCTTCTATAGACAAAAGATCTTGTTGATGTATGGTATAGACAGAAGACATTGTGAAGGTCTGCTGTAAAGAGAAGATTAAATATTTTTCTTTTTGAATTTAAATAATACATTTTTTATTACATTTATTTGTACACATTTTACCTGATAGAAAAGCACAATCATCCAAATCTGGATCATTTGTCATTTCGATACGTTCACGTCGCCAAACTTTCGAACCCCTTTGACCACCGCCAACGATCGAAATCTTAACGGGGCCACTACCGCTTTGTCTTCCTGCCAATACGTTCGATTAGACGTTTTGCTTAAACGCGACAATATTGCGGAATTTCGGATTTATTTTTGTTGCGAATAAAATTGAGATAAAAATTTTTCTTTTCGATTTTTTCGACACTTTCAATTTTAAAGACTATATACAAAAATTTGATTTTCCAATTATATTAGAAATGAAGAAATTAATTTTGCCAATAAAAATGATTTGAAGTTGTTGATTTCGTTGGTATTCTGTCAACACCACAAAATATAAATAATTGAAATATATACACCACAAAAATCGATTAAATGACAGGTTAACACATTTTGCCCCATAAATATACCCTAAGGATGTGTCAAAGCAAATCGCAACAAATTCCTCTGACCAACATGTATAAAGGGAAACACATTCAGGATATTTGTAAGTGTTTACTTTTTCCGCCGACCTGTCAAACTTATAAATTTAACAGCCCACCACAAATGTTGCCTTAGCATCTGTTGAAAGCCATAATGCTTATGTATTTTATCGTTCGCCCCAACGAAGCAGAAACGAAATCAAACTTTATCGATGAATTTCAGCAAGAAAAATCTCATCCTACGATTCTGCTCGGCTCGATGATTGCACAGGAAAATTTATCGTCTACAAAACTTTAGTAGGAAAAGCAGCAGCATCCAACAGATGTAGCTAACCAAGTAAATAAGAGGAAAGAAAAGAGACAACCTCAAAGGACTCCTTGCTACGGCAATAATCAAAATAATAATAATTTATAACAGCGAAACCACCAACCTACCAACCAACCAAGAAGACAACCCTCAAAGGAGAATTTTGTATATCATGTTTTACGAATTAAGGAGCAACTTTGTTACCTTTCGTCCCAAGTCATAAACATTTTTATTTACCTTTTTCTTTTATTTTTATACCCTCCACCATACTATGGAGGGTATATTAACTTTGTCATTCCGTTTGTAACTCCTCGAAATACTCATATCAGACCCAACAAAGTATATATATTCTTGATCAGCGTAAAATTCTAAGTCGATTTAGCGATGTCCGTCTGTCTGTCTGTCTGTCTGTCCGTCTGTCTGTCTGTTGTAATCACGCTATCTTTCGAATGAATTGAGATAGATGGCTAAAATTTTGCACACATGTTTATTTTTCCAGTAGGCAGGCTAAGTTCGTAAATGGGCCATGTACGTCCACGTTTTCATATAGCCCCCATATAACGGTACCTCCCTATATTCGATATTTTGATGATTTTAGCGATATTATTCACGAGAATTGTTTCAAATTTGGTATTTGAAGTTCAAAATAGATACTACACCCTAAGACGGAAAATTGTCTGTGCAGATCCACGTCTTCGTATAGCCCCGATATAACGGTACCTCCCGATATTCGGTTTTTTCGATGATTGTAGCGTCATTATTCACGGGAATTGTTTCAAATTTGGTATTTGAAGTTCAAAATGGATACTACACCCTAAGACAGAAAATTGTCTGTGCAGGTCCACGTCTTCATATAGCCCCCATATAACGGTACCTCCCTATATTCGGTATTTTGATGATTTTAGCGACATTATTCACCGGAATTGTTTCAAAATTGGTATTTGAAGTTCGTTATAGGAACTACAGTCTGTGACAGAAAATTGTCTGTGCGGGTCCAGGTCTTCGTATAAGCCCCATATATCAGTACCTCCCTATATTCGGTATTTTGACGATTTTAGGTACAATACCCACTGAAGTTGTTTGAGATGTGGAATTTGAAGTTCGTAATAGATGATACAGTCTGTGACAGAAAATTGTCTATGCTGGTCCAGGTCTTCTCACAGCTCCAATTTAACGGCACCTCCTTATATACGATATTTTGATGATTTTAGCTACATTATTCGCCGTTTATTTCAAGTTTCGAATTTGCTTAATGGCTTATGACAAACAATGCCTATGTATGTCCACGTCGTATAGACCCCAATATAACGGCTATATTCGGTATTTTTAAAATTTTAAAAGAATTTTTTAAGGATTTTATTTTTTAAAAATTTCCAAATTCGTTGAAAATGGTGGAGGGTATTAAAAGTTCGGCCCGGCCGAACTTACTGCTTTTTAACTTGTTTTTTTTTTGTCTACTTTCCTCTGAAGTCACTTAATTTTTTAAGAATTTTCGGAATACGTTTTTGTAACAGTGGTTGTTATTGGAAAGCATTTATCAAAAATATATCGCTCATTTAATATGACTACAGAAACACTTATTTGCAAAAATGTGACCAGATACCAGTGATAAATTTCTGTGTAAAATCAAGCATGTATTTAAATATATAGTTTTGTTGATGTATTTCCAAACGTCTTATTAAACAAGTAAGCAATGGCTATAGGTGTGCTGGCCAACCAAGTGATACCCTACAACAGCAAAATATGTTGAAACCCCCCTTATACCCAAATACATTTTGGAAGAATTCGCTTTTGAAATAACATCATAGAGCCCTACCCAGATGTTACCCTTAGCTTTTTGATCAGGAGAATTTTCCCAATATTTACGTACTCCCTCGTGTTGTAAGATATTCAAAACAATTTCACACGAATGATGTAGTCCATTTTACAGCTAAATATGGTCCAATGGTCATTCAAAATGATGGACTTCTGCCCTGGCCTCTGTCTTAACTCTCTTCTCACACAAAATTCCGTGTCGATTGGTTTTCAATTGTGACCTGTAGAGCGACTGCAAAATATGGAACATTTTTGAACCCCTAATGTACAAAGCAATAGGCTTTTATTCTGACCCTGATCTACCCCCATGCAAAATTTCGTGAGGCTCGGACGATAATTGCGACATGTATATAATACCCTCAATAAATAGTGTTGCGAGGTGTAGGAAAACTTTATAAAATTTACAATTCAAAATTGTTCATTCAACAATTGAAAAGATGTTACAAAAAATATTCACATATCATATTTTTACTCGATTTTTTTTAGATTTTATCCTTTCCAGGCAAGAGACCATTACAAAAAAAAAAAAAA